TGACTTTTGAAAGATGACGGGAAAAGTATCAGATGGCCCCACTTCTTATGCAGTACTTCAGCAAGTTCCAGGCGGGGATCTAGAGCACATACTGACGGACTTCATAAAAGAGCGCCTAAGGCGCACGCATCTAGGGGGGTCTGGAGGGTATGCTCCCCCGGGAAATTTTTGGATTTTTTACTCCCTAAAGCCCCCTCATTCCTGGGTTTCTGAGTCATTCAGACAGGACATTAGCAAGTGTTCAACTTGGAATTTTTTTCCATTTAAAATATATCTATTTATCACTGATTTTCTTAAAAAGTTGCATCCGCGCCTGAGTTCTTCTGTTATGTGGTTTCTTGAGACTTAGAGGTGATTACTGGAGGAATAAGAGGGCAGATCTCATAAAGTGCCCTCTTTTCCTGAGCAGATTACGTCAAGGAAAGATATTGTCACCGGTAGTTTTCTCGATTTCTTTGGGAGCCACGTATTTTGGTATGTTTTTCCAGGTATTTTCCAGGTACCCCCTCCCGCTGGATCCGCCCCTGCACCAGGACTCTCTCAACTCTTTCAGTTAAAACACAATTGAAGACGAGAACCTCAGTGTCTAAAAATTTATTCCAGAAAGTTGGATCATATAAAATATTCCTGTTTAACTTGCACAGTAATTTACATGATAATACAGCACGAGCATCTTCTTCTCTTCCTTTCATCGTCCTACAAAAAAAAAAAAACGCACAAAATCACACTCAAAGTAATAAACTACAGTCCAATTAGGAAATCCTCCGATAAGAGGCCTTAAAGCTGAAGTATTTCCAGCCTTTACTATTTGCTGATTGGCTTCCCAATCAGCAAGTTTAAAGACGCACTCTGCTACGCCAGAGAGAATTTGTGTCATTGACATTTTATATCTGAGCACCGGAACGTACACATTATATATTACTGTATGGAAGAATTCAGCTACAGCATTTCATGATTTTAGAAGAAGGAATTCAGTGTTAAGTCTACCATAAACTCGTAAATCACAAAACAATGCTAAACACCACTTCACTTGCTTTGCACGGGTTGGGTTCTCATTTCGAAACCATTTAACCTAATTATTAACCACCAACTCAGAAATCCTCCGTAATAGAGGCCTTACAAGCGAAGGCTGCTGAGCGTGTAACCTTTAGAACTTTTCGCATCTTTTGAATGAAGAACATTAACAATATTCTAGACTGTAAACAGTCTATCTTTTTCTTCAGATTTAGTGAGGGCAGTGCACACGTGAGCGAGCGTGAGTCGAGCGGCAAAGCCACGACACGCGAGAAATGAGGGCGGCAGCCCAAAGAATAAAAGAGAGACTACTCATAGTCTACGGACGATCTTGCATTATCAAGTTCGAGGTTCCCTTTCTCGTCCTGCCAAAAAATAAATCATGAAACGACATTTAACAGCAGAAAACTTCGAAATGAAATTTCAAGACAAGGGTAGAGGCCTAATTATCTATCTTTAAAACACATTTCCACGAAGGCTTTCCCTTGCAACTCAGAATCAGAAACTTGAGAACGACATTTCGCATTTAGTTTTTAATGTTACGTAAAAAACACGTCAAAGGGTCATCATCATCAATTAACAAACGGAGATGCCTTTTAACAGCCTCGCGCAAGTAGAAGCCTAAAATACCTAATTCTGTTTCCAGCGAGGATCTATCTGAGGGCCTGTTTACACGGAGGTGGGGACCCCAGATACGTGATCACGAAAAGGTGATCAAATTAAAATGAACATTTACATGGCCAGGCGCTTTACCCCACCCAAGCGAGTTACCTCACCTACCTGGGGTCCCCCACACTTTCATGTAAACAGGCCGTTAAACGCTGTTTAAAAACAATGTCGAAGAAAGGCTTTACCTCAACAGTGAACAATTGTTCTAACTCAGGCAAGACTTGGGACTCGGAGGTTTGGTTTTCAATCTCCTATGACGTGAAAAAACGAAAGGTTCATCATCTTTGTGCCGGCATTAAAGAGCGCCTAGCAATGTCATGACATTTTGAAATTATTTTTAAACCCTAAACACACATTTCCCTGCTACCAGAGGGCTCTTTTCCTCCCGCCCGCCGAATACCAGGGAAAAAAGACCTCTGCTGCCAGGGAAAACACACAATGGAAGGAAAGAAAACCCTGAAATAATGCTTCAGTTCTATTTAAAACGACTTGACGTACTACTATATCTTACCTTTAATTGCCTTTGTCGTTGGCTTTCAAGGCTGGCCAGGATGGAAATGAATTGCAACTTGAAAAAACGAGGCTAACTTTTTCAAGTTTAACTCCTGTGCTACCTTTTCCGGTTGCAAAGTAAAAGTTCATTTGAATTTTGTGTAAAAGCCTGTGTTCTAGTTTTCTTTTGCTATGTTTCATTCAGTTTTAAAACCTAGTTTAATAAAACACGTTTAGTTGGTGTGAATAGGGAATAAGCAATGGACAACGCCCCTTCCTTTTTACAACCGGCCTCCTCCTGCTAATAATTATTGCGCAGTCCCTTAAAAAAAAAACCTTTATGAAAAATATCAGCAACCCACCCGTTCTTGATCATCCACTGATTCATACAATGGGGTTTCTTCTTCAGTTTCAATGACTTCTCCATCGTTCTGGCAAAAATCATACATTTAAAGATGTTAAACACCATCCACCTTCTATATGTAACTGTAAGCCCACCAGCGTACTTATTACATTTAAAACGAACACACATTGGAATGAAGAAAACCTTAAAAAGATGGTTCAGTTATATTTAAAATGGCTTTCCCTACTACTGTACCTCGACTATAAGTTTAAGACTTTGGTTTTCATGGCCTGGATGAAAACGGATTGCAACTTGAAAAAATTGGGCCAACTTTTTCAAGTTTAACTCCTGTGTGCCGTCACGTGATTGAAAATTACACGAACAGTCATTTATGTTTCATGATTAAACACCGAGCTTACAAAAAGGGAATCTTTTTTTTCAAGGCAAAAGTCACTTTTCGCTAGCCTGTTCCAAGCATTCAGATAGTGGGGAAATAGGCTACTTTTGGCCTAAAATCAACTGAGTGCGACCTGCGAGAGAACAGCAGCCAATTTTTATCTGTAGTTTATTTTTAACAGAACCCGAAATCGATTTAGTTCAAGGGAAATAAAAACTTAGATGAAACAGAACAAAGATAAAGTAAATAAACTTAAATAGAAGAAGTGGATGACTAACCTGCTTCAGTTCCATCTCTGATTCAGATGATGAATCAGAAGTTGATTAAGATGATGAATCAGAGATGAGACCAGGCGATTCAGGTGAAAGCAAGAGGTTCCTTTGAATAGCCTGCAACAATAAAGTTTTTTTCTTAATGTACGGGTTCTCAATTTAAAACCTTTTAATGTAACTGCCAAGATTAACTACCACCAACTCGGAAATCTTCAGTAAAAGACGCTAATTAACGAAGGCTCCAACGCGTGTTTGATTATCTCTGACGGACAGAAAAATCTGCTTTACCCACGTCATGAGCGGGGATTAAACAGTAATACGAATTTTCGGAAGCGGGGATTTAACATGGGTGACTAAAGGAAAAGCCTCGTTTCCAAAAGTTTTGTATGGCGGCAGAAGAGAGATGATGCCGCAGAGAATGATAATATTAAAAACAGGGAAACAGGGCAGGAAGGCACAAAACAGGTTGCCCTAGTCTCAGACACAGAAAGAAAGTGTATAGAACGTCCTACATATTGGTCGAGCGTTGCCTTACAAGGACTTCACAAATCTCATTTAAGTCTTATTTGTTCACCTCGTACGTAAAAGACGATAAAATAATCCCAAAAGCGCTTTCTAAGTTTCCCGATTCCTCTCCCATTACTTTCACGATTGGAAAATTGGAGAAAGACAGAGCTGTTTCGCTTCCCAAGGGGTACTCCGGGTAATTCTCGGTGGGGGTGTGCCGCCTAGTTCTCCAAATCCTGACCCTATTTCAGACCAAAAAGTGTCATTTTCCACACCCCTTTTCAGACCTGACCTGTAAAATCCACACCCGTTTTCAGACCTGACATTTAGGCAGAAATTATGTCAGAATTACAGTCAACCGGCCCTTTATAGCGGACACTGTAGGGACCTCAAATTAGTGTCCTCATTAGCGACAGTCTGTAATAGCGGGAGTTTATTCAAGTCAAACGTCTGTAATTTGTTTTTGCCGGGGAATTTAGTTGCTGTCTGTATTATCGGGGTGTCCGCAAGGCGAGAGTTGACTATACCTATATGGCTTATAGAAGGAAGTATCCCCCCCGCCGGGTTTCGCTTAAGATCCCTTGCCTTTACAAGTATACCATACAGACAGTTACTTTTTTGAAAGCGATCTAACCACATTTTTCTACATTGGCTCCAGAGGTCCGTTCTCAGGAATTAGGTAAGAAAAAAATTCCTGGCACCCAGAGTAACATTTTTCATGAATTTGAAGGAACGCAATCGAGAGTTTCTATTAACAGGTCCGATGGTGTGAATTTTAAGAAATACAGAATACCAGATCGGACAGAGCGGTTGAAATAGAGCCTTGAACTACACTTTACTAATTCCCTGCTATACGGGTCTTTACCAAACTGTTTGGCCCGGGGAGCGGGAAAATTAGCGGTGTTTTAAACTAAACCAATGTTAAATTCCCCGCTTAGTCCCGGGGGTCGGGGGGCCGGAGTTTCAAATGACTGATGGATAAACTTAAATAAACGAAGCTAGCGACTAAACCTGTTCCTGTTCAATCTCTTTTTTAGATGATGAATAAGCTTATTAATTTAACTGTAACCCACAGATAAGAACCTGCTTGATCTCGTTTGGCCAACCTGGTTCTAATATTGTTGGTAATAAAGAAGGAAATTTCTACCAGCAGGTTATTAAGCCACTAGGTTCTTACCCGCGGGTTTTTACTGTATTAAAACCTAACTCATTAGTACCAACTCGGAAATCCTCCGTAATGGAGACTTACAAATGAAGGCTCCTGAGCGTATTTGAATATCTCTGACGGACAGAAAAATAGAACTGTTCACACAAACACTGAAAGTCTTACTAATATTAATAAATAAACTTTCACAAAAATAGGTGAGTGATGACTAACCTGCTCCTGTTCATGCGCTGATTCAGGTGATGAATCAGGAAAGAGGTGAGGGTACATTCTTTTCCAGTAGTTCTCAGGTTCGGGGTTTCCTTTATCATCCTGCAACAAAATACAAAACAATACTTAAAACCACCCATCTCCCTTTAATAAAGTGTGGATGTGTACACATTTCAAAACCTTCATTTTAAGTACAATGCAATTACACTGACCAACGAAAGACAGTTGTTTATATGACAATAACTTTGACAAGATGTACTAAGTTCAAGACAAGCCTCGTGTGCCGAAACCAAAGATCACCACTCAAAACTTGGCCTATAAAATAAAAGGCAGTTTGTGACTGCATGTGGCTACTGTTTTAGTTTTGTAGAATATATTGCAACAAAACAGGAATGAAAATTGTAGGAAACGATAGAAATTTAGATTGTTTATCCATAAAAATACTATCTTTGCTCTAGAAGGTATATATTTAAAAAACATCAACAACAAAACAAATAAGCAAACAAAACAAAAACGAAAAAACAAAAGAGAAAGACAGAGGGAAAAAAGAAGCGCTACTGAGCAGGATTTGAACGCGGCACCTTGTCAAAAATTATACGAGCCCAAGGGTAATGTTTTAATAACAACTGACAAACTATTTTTAAGCGTCTTTACAGTTATTTGCTGAGAGAAATTTTTCCTAGCGAAGATTTTGACTTCTCTTGCGTGATGATAAGGGATGTGGGGGAGGACCCTCTCCCTCCGGCGTTGCGTGACATAGAGAGAGAGAGGGGGGGGGGGGCAGAACTGCACTAAACACACCGTGGTTATGCCTTCTTTATGTGGTATGTTGGTGTAGAGGCGAAGCGCTGAAGGTCAAACACTTCCTTTACGACTAAGTTCAAGAAACGAGTGTTACCCGTCCCCAATATTTAAAGAAAGTTTAGAGAGGAGGGAGATTTACCCCCCCTCACCCCACTTGGCGGAATTGGAAAGAGAAACATTATCTTTCTCAAGGCGCATGAACAAGAAATTCGCATTCAAAATAGTGGAATCAAAATCAAAATTAGCAAATCCTTTTTCTTTTCTTTTGAAAATATATTTAGCCTTACAAAATTCGCAGATCACAGTGTATTTTTGTGCGGGCGGGAATTTGTTACGTAATAAAACAAAAGGCGGGAAAATGTCATCACGTGAAAAATTATCCGAGGTAGATTTAACCAATCAGCTGCCGCCGCGTCACTAAGCTTTGAATGACATCGTTCATCGTTTGTTGTTTTTGTAGTTTGTTCAGTTCGCTCTTCAACGGCAAACTGTTCAGGATGAACTCAAAATTTAATAAGAAAACATCCAGGAAATTATTTTACACAAGACAGGGATTGACCGATTCATCTCTTTTTACTCAGGAATATGCTAAGGAGTTGTTCGAAGCTCAAGGAAACATCATTTATAAGGATATTTCACAAAAGTCTAAAGCTCCGCAGGATTTGATTTGCATGGCGAGTGTTCTTGGAAAGTTGAAAACAAACTTATGCTATTTACGCAATGAAAATCATGCAATGGACACTTATGCTATACAGTGGAGAACAGCGAAGTGTTTACCTGTAAGGAAATTTTTTTTGGTGTTGCTTTCAACCGTTGTCTCGAAGATACAATTTTTTTGTGCGGGTTGTTATTTCAAAAACCAACGCTTCACCGAACTGCAAGGACCAGTATTTACCAAAGAAACGCTCAAGAACTAACAAAGGAACAGCTATAAAGAAGACTTGTTTGTTTTTTGGACTTTCAAAGGAACTTCACTTGACTTAAACTGATTTTATGGGAACCCTGGACGATAAACTGTGAAACTGTGAGTTCAATGTGTTTACTCTTTGCTCATTTGTTTGAATTGAACATGAACTGAACATCTTTCATTTGCTTTTATGATTGTTGTTTGTTACTTTATGAAAAGTTATGAATTAAAATTGATTCAGAAATTAATACTGTGGAAATTATTTGCCTTTATTTTGCTAAAAGTTCTTGTTTTCACCCAATAATATCATCTTATGGGTGCTTGAAGATACGAAATTTCTGTTCTTGTGTTCAACTCCATGTTTTAATATCAGCTGAAGTTACTTGTTCTTAACGTTCTCAGTTAAAACATTTTATGAAGTTAGTTTAATCAGTTGAAAGAAATGAATTTGAAATGATACTTTGAATCTGCTAAAGTTTGTGATTTGATTTCAAAAGCAAATCTTGTGTTTTGTCGAGTGTAAAAATGACAAAGAAAGGAAAATGGCGAAAGGCAAGAGCTGAGTAGAACTAAACTGTAAACAAAGAATAAAGAAACAAATTGCGATAAAATTGGAAAACTTACGTGGTAGGATGACCACAGTGAAGCGATGTTTCCGTGCTGCTGTACAGCTGATGTGAGATTCATCACCTGCTGTGGAGTCATCTTCACTCCTTCAAGCATCAGTCTCTCCAGGTGAGGAGCGCAGCTGAGATGTTTTATCAAACTGTCGACTCCTGCACCCAGAAGAGGATTGGATGACATGTTGAGATACTTCAAGTTTGGAAGATCTTGTTTGAATACTCTGCTGATGAACTCCACAGCAGGTGATGATGTTACATTGATTTTGAAGAGTGTTAATATCTCCAGTTTGTGTGTTGTTGGGATGCTCCTCAGTAGAGACTCTGTTACCTCAGCATCAAACACTTCACCGTATTCACCCCAAACCTGTATCTCGTGTGGAGCGGTGATAAACGGCATGATCTCAATCAGCTGTTCCACATCTGACCTGTTCACCCAGTCAGCTCTAATCGTCCGAACCCTGGAGACACCATGACGCTTTGAACAACAGCTGCTGCTGCTCTCTTCACTTGACTCATCACCATTCATGTTTGTCTTCTTTGTTGTCTCTTCTAAACTAACTAACGTCTTTACCATTTTAAAAGGAAAAGGAATGTCAGGATGTGTATCTTTTACAATTTGAGTAAAATAAAGGTGAGTGTTGTTTTCTTCTTTCATTAAAAAAAACTCGTCAACACTACGCCATGGAAATACATTCAAAAATTCTGATGCTTTCTGTTCTCCTGTTCTACTAACTATAACAGCGTTTAATTGCTTTGCTAAAGTTATTAAATTATTATAACTTTGCTCTGTATATTGGCCGCTTTCAGAGAAAAATATGTACATAAGTGAAGCGGTAGTTTTAACAAAATTTTCCTTTGCTGCAATATTCAGCTGGTCAGGATTTAAAATGAACAAAACACCTCCTAGATTAGAAAGAAAAGTGGGGAAAAGTTCTGTTCTCGTGTCTGCTGAACAGTAGAAGAATAACTGTGTACATATAGTTAAAAGATTTTTGGGGGTTTCTGACAAATCGTTGACTGACGGTGCTTCGTTGTCGAAGCTGTACTCTCCGTCTTCCTTCGCCGCCATTTCCAACAGATGAATCAAGATCTCGCGCGCGGCTTCTTCTGACATTTCAGCAACAAATTTAAAAACTTCATTCAACTTGAAGATCTTTTCAATTGAGTCCACTTTGAAAAGAGAATTGTTTTTACTTTCTTGAGATAACAGTTCTTCTTTTAGAAATAAAGAAGCCACAAACTCCTGCATGGATTTGTGAATGAAGTGAACGTCTTTGCTGGGGTTAAGAGCGGACACGTTTAGCAGCTGAAACAACCCGGCCTCGATCAGTTTCTCAGTCAAAACGCGATCCGGCAGTTTACTGAGAGGAAAGTAAAGTAAATCTTGTAGAAGCGAGTCAAATGCTAGTTCTCCTACTTTACAGAGTTCTTGAATGTGGTTCTCAACTTCTTCCGCCTCTGTTTTTTGTTTTTCAGACATATGATTAAACATAGTCTGTAGAAACTTGAAGTACACCATCACCCGTGATGAAGGTAGTCCTTCACGATCCTTTTCTTTCCAAACCAACAACAACATTAAAAGCAAAATAGGTATTTTTGCTACATCTTCCAGGTCTTTTTGCTCCAAGTATTCAAAAAACTCTTCAATATCTTGATCATCTTTCAAGAATCTACGGGCGAACTCTTCTTGTCGCTCACGGTCAAAACCGTCGATCTCAAATTGAGCATCGCAGGAACTTTTCAATCCCTCTCCTTTCATGTCTCTAGACGTTATAATAACACAACAATTCCTCAACTGCTTTTTCTCCCAGATTTGAAGAACAGGTGATTGGCTTGCTGCGCTGTGTACATACTCATCGTAGCCGTCCAAAATAAGCAACACTTTTTGTTGGTGGTGACGAACGTAATCGTACAGGTTGTCAGTGGAAATTGGGCCATCACTCGCAAGAAGATTAGCATCCCTCAGAATGACTGGGAGATCGTTGAGGTTACAAACATCGCGTAATTTGACCAAAAGTACGAGATCAAATCTTCCTAACTTTCCTTTAAATCTGTGTCGGGACCAGTCGAATGTAGCTTTCTGCGTAAAAACGGTCTTGCCGATACCCGGTCGTCCGTGAACCAAAATACGCTTAGGCAAATGATGAAGTCTTCCGCCGTCAAAAATGTCGGTATAGTGTTCAAGCTCCTTCTGTGTTACTCCGCTGGGATCCTTCAAATCCATGAGCCAAGACAACTGGGTGTAAACTTTGTCAATGTGAACGGCAGAGCTTTGGTCCCACGGAACGATTTTGACTGTGCTGTTGTCTTCATAAATTGATCGCAGCTGTTTCTGGAACTCCTCGAGGCAGAGAGAATCTGTTAAAGACAATTTTACGTTCCTTTTTTTTTAAAGAATTGTTCATTAACGACTTGATATCTTAATAGGCGAGGAAAGTTAAAGGGAGGTAGTTGATGCACAAAAATATAGGCCCTTATTCATATAAACTGATCAGATCACCAAATATCAATAAAATTTCCATATTTAAAAACAAATTATCCTCAACTCATTATACACCAACAGAAATGCAAGTAACAGTGTATGTATATATCAGGGCTCTAAAACACCATAATATAGTGTAGCAATATAAACACTATGGTCAAACGTAGAAGGAACGCACTTTATTAATTTAATTTATTAATTTATTTTAATTTATTAATTCATTTATCTCTTCTATTTTCTTCTTTTTCACCTGCTTACACACTGACTTTAATATGGATGGGGAGCTAACTAGAAAATCTAACAGTTTATTTAGCTTCCAAGCTCGCACTTATTATTTCTCTTATATTATAAAGTTATAACCTGGCACAAATTTCAGTTGGAAAAAAGTTAAAAATGTAATTTCACCATGAGCTAAATAAAGAATTATTCATTATTGCAATTACAAATTATGAATATGGCGGGATGCGCAACCTTGTCCGAGTAACATTTATATGTAAATATCTTTGAAGACTGCATCAGTAAAGCAAGTGTAAAGGGGCGTTACCCCACAAAAAGAGGTTCAGGGAGGAGACACCAGTAGAGGGCTACCTCTCCAAAGCTGTTAGTGAAGTTTGTGGTCGAGTGCTAAAAATAATTCTTATTTTTTATAACTGGCCTCGAGGATTAACGCAGATTAAAAATACCTTGGCAAAATTATAACAGAAAAATTGAATGAGAAGAAGAATTTGACGCTTGAAGTATCACATCATACTTCTTCTTTGCTACTTATTTCTGAAATAAATATAAACAACTGCGAGAATAAAGATCATTTTCTATTACAATACAACAAACAATAAAAGTCATTTTCATATTAAAATAAGCGTTTCTATCTACTCTATGTCTGGTACCATTTCAGCTTTATTGGATATAATAGTACCTGGTAACTCCTTCTTATTGGCCATAGAGCTAGAGGGCTGTTTCCCTGCTGATGGGTCTGTGAGTTAAACAAAGTAAAATAAAAATTGAAGTGAGACATTTAAAACAACAGTTATTCTAAAGTATTTGGGGAAAATGTTTATAAATCTGTCAGTTTTTTTACTACTCACATTTTAGGTTCTGGGTCTGAATAGTTTCAATAACAAAAAGCACTGAGCAGCTTGTCTTGGGACTGAAAGCTTACATCTTAGCTTTTACTGAATTGTGGGTGATACTGACATTTTAATTCACTAAATGATGTCTGGTTGCAGTGTGCACAATTTTAAACAATAAATTTATGTTTTAAACTTGGTTATGCAGAATTTCTGCTGCACACTGAGTTGATTCTGAAAGGTATCTAGTGAACAGTTGAAGTTCAAAAACATTTTCAAAACAGAAAATAAGTCCCCAAATACTGTAAAATTCCGAAAATAAGCCCCAGGGCTTATATTTTTCAAAGGCCCTTTTTGAGGGGCTTATTTTTGGAGGGGCTTATCTACGGAGGGAAATTTGCGTTTCAAAATTGATTGGGCTAGACTTAAAGTTTGAAGTAAATTTACCATTTTTGCTTTGTTTTAATTTGTATTTGAGGGCAATTTTCCAAGTACAAGCCCCCGGGGGGCTTATATTTGGAGGGGCGATTTAACGGAGGGTTTTTTGCGTTACTGGTTTGGAGGGCTTATATTTGGAGGGGCTTATACATGGAGGGGCTTATTTTCAGAATTTTACGATAAGTTTCCCGGCCCTTCCAAAACCATAGCTATCAACCAACCAAAGGGTAGAGTTCTAGAATGATCTCAAATCAGAAAATAAAACCTGCAATGCAGAGAGCTTACTGGTTAGGGTTCAGGGCTGCCACTATGGTTTCAAGTTGCCAAGTAGGGAATAGAACATCCTGGAAATTCTTTCGGTCCTATTTTCGTATTATTTCCTATGAAAGTAACCAAGGGTCATGCTCATAGCAGCCAGGGGAGATCCATGCCTGTTGGCCCTGAGTGAAATCCCTCTAAAGTTGGTTGCTAGTGTCCTCAGGGCATGATGGGGAAGGTGGGGAGAAGGAGATACTACCCTATTAAACGACTGAGGTGCTACTGAAATAAAAAATTCAAAAAGTATCCCTAGAAGGTACAAGAATCTTGCTTTGTGGGCATGGAAGAAATTCATTTTAAGCTCTACAAAAGGTACCAAAAGGAGAAGGAGATACTCCCCTTTAAAAATAACAGAACTGCTTTACAAAAAAAGAAATTAAAGATAACAGGGGTGCTTGTAAAAAAAAAATATAAAAAAATAATAATAATAAAAATCATCCCTAGAGGGTAGCAGAATCTTACTTTGTCGGCATGGCAGAAATTCACTTTAACCCCTGGGAGATACCAAAAGGAGGAGATACCCCTCTATAGATATAAATGGGGAGCTTAAAAAACAACAACAACAGAAACAAACAAACACACAAAACGAAACAAAACAAAAACAGGGGTTTTGTAGAAAAAAATAACCAAAAGAACCCCTAGAAAGTAACAGAATCTAGCTTTGTGGGCATGTAGGAAATTAATTTTAATGCCTAAGAGGTACTAAAAATTACTTGAGTAACAAAATAATTCCCACCCAACCTTACAGGCCCCTAACAGATACCAGTGAAGTTCTAATTAAACAAGGGTCAGTTTAGACTTAAGGTCGCTAAGTATGCACTTGCCGAGTAGCAACCCAGAAATCTTACTGCCTAAAATAGTATGATGAGCAGCCGGTCGATTTTATCAGGAAACATCTCCCTCCTGTCCTCCCGACCAATTTCTTCACATTTTTCCCATAATTTTTCTTTTACCTATGTTATAGTTTCCAACAGTTGTGAGTTGACAAAGAAAACGTTGAACTCTATCCTTTTTTAAGTTTATTGTGATTAATAATTAGGTTTGAAAGTTAAGGCTGAGTATTTTTAAATCAACCTCAGTACTTAACCATAAACACTTCTACTGCACGAAAAATTAATTATGATATGGTTTAATTAAAGGACATGTCACCTACCTTCATAATGAGGCCATTGCTGAAACACAAATGAATCCTTCAACATGTTGGACACAAGAGAAGCCGCCATTATGCATGCGTGACTCTCCCAAGACTTTTCTGCAGGGTTGTTACCATCGGCAAAGTGAGAAATACCTTTTACAATCACCCATTCAATCTTAAGATCATGTGCTGCAGCAAACAGGCCTGGAAAAAACAACAAAAAATGATTAAAAATTAAATTTCAATACAAAGAGAGATCAATTTATGCAAATAGATCCCCTTAAGTGAACGTCACAGCCAGGGTTGATCAATATGTGACAACATAAACAGAATTATTTACCCTGCAAATGGGCAGGCAGAAAATGATAATAGTGATTTTAAAAGGCAGCTATAAACAGCATAAATAAAATAATACAAAACAGGACAAATAAATAAGATCTTAGCAGAATTTAACTTTCCTTCTGTATTTTATCCAAAGGAAAACATTACTTAAAATGCTGTCCTCCAATCAATCGTTTATGTATAATTCAGTATAGAAAAATGCAGCAAATTTAATAAACATCAGCTATTTTGAGAAAGATTGTCACAAAAAGTGCACGCGACAATCCCGAAAGGTATATGTGGGTGGCTTTGAGTTCACTGTACATGTTCTTCAAAGAAATTTGAAAGAATGGCACAAGAGGCCATGGACATAACATGTTTGCGAGTGCTAAAGGAAAGCAACAAAAGTAGGTTCAACAGCTACTGTTGTCAGGAACAGTGTATAATTTGATCATATCCCGTGCTACCTTTCAGGACTGTCAAACGTGCACATTTTCTCCGACAACCTTTCTTGAAATACATGTAGCTGTAAATGTAACCGAGCTCGATAATTAGCTCACAAAGCATTTTCTTTTCGGTATTATTTTTGCAGTTCCGTTTATCGTTTTCCCACGGTACGCGTTTCTTTAGTTGTGCTTTGTGGTTAGCCGTGTTTTATCTAGCTCTGTGATTTCTCCGCCTTTACACCCATAAACAGGAAAGAAATTAATTGATTTTAACTCGCTTTAATTTGCCGCCATTGCTGTAGTTAACCGCGAAACTCTCCATTTGTTTCCTCCTACTGTATTAACAGAACACGTATGTATTCTGCGGTAAAGCGATAATAGTGTTTCGCAAACAGGCGTATTGCCAAAAGGAAGATTTCACTGTTTTGTGGCTTACCTAGCTATAGTTGTCCAATTGTATTGCTAATAACAGGATGCGAGCTGTTTGTGTTCCGCGCGATATAAATACGCCTGCACGTAGCGTTTCTTCGCATTACTACAGTTCCAGTTGCCGCGTTCACTAGTCAAGCCGTAGGACATAGTTTTGTAGAGTTCTCCCCTCGCTGGAGTGGCACTATTGCCCTTTTCATCGCCCATTTTCTTTCCCTTTTTGTTGCTTTATTCGTTTTCCTAGTATTTGTTTTTTATTGTATTTCTTTCCCACTAATTGGCCATTAAATTCTTGTTTGTTTTGTACGCATTTTGTCTTTCATTGGTTGTCATTCGCTACCTCCCCTACTCGCGCGGCTCGGTCACATTTTGGTACCAGGAGTGGGGTAGCGAATATTATTTGGCTTCCAAAATCTTAGAAATACAATAAAGCACTAGGAGTAGAAAAGGGCAATAGAGGTCACGTCCCATATGGAGGGTGAGGTGGAGCAACTCAAACAGAAGCTCCAAAAATTGGAGGAGGAACACAACCAGACATATCAACTCCTGACAACCCTCCAAGCTAAGGAATCCCCAGGAGCTCCAGCCCCATCCCAACCCCAGGAAAAGCAGTTAGTGGTGATCCCCAATGAACAAAAATTGAAGAAGTTTAGTGGAAGACATGGTGATAATGAACTGTCCATAGAGGATTTTATTGATAATGCGAAAAGCGCAATCACCTCAAGAGGACTCCCCCTCCCAGAGCAGGCGAATTTTGTACTCTCATACCTAGAGGGCCCCGCTAAAGAAGAAATGAAGCTCTACCCTAAAAGTGACCTTACGAATTTAGATAAGATCTTCGACCTCCTTCAAGAGTCTTTTGGCGAGAAGCATTCTGTTCCCCAGCTCTTAAAAGCTTTTTACGACCGCCGACAGAGGGAAGGTGAAACCCTTCGTGCATTCTCCCATGCCCTGAGAGAACTGCAAGCCAAGATACAAAAGAAAAGTGTGACCAAATCAAGTGGCCAAGACGCAGCCCTTCGAGACCACTTCGCCGAAAATGTTAGAGATCCCCTCCTTCGAAAGGAACTCAAGAAGTTTATTAGAACCCACCCAGAAATTTCCTTTCTAGACACCAGAGAGGAAGCTATTCGATGGGCCGAAGAAGACGAGAAGTCCTGTGGACCGCGCCCCAGGGTGGCTTCGTCGCATGAGACCAATACCTCCACTAAGCCCTCTTCCATTGAATCAGCCATGAATGAGATGATTAAAACCTTGCAAGGCCAGCAAAAGGCTATCGAAGACCTAGCAGCCAATCTCAAGAAGCTGAATACAGTGCCCACCCACAGAGGACAGAATATACAGCCTCAGCCCCAGTTCCAGCAGCGTCAGCCTAGACCTGACGCAGGTGGCGACAGGTGTTATCAGTGTGGAGCACCAGGACACTTTGCCCAGAATTGCACAGCACGAAGTAGACCCCCGTCCCTCCGGAACCTCACCCCCAGGCCTCCACCTAACCCGTCAAACTAGCCCCCCCTGCTGCTGAGAGTCAGGCGGCAGGAGGGAGCAGTCCTGGCTCACCTTGTCCCCCACAGTTACCTGGAATTGTGTATGAGAGAGCAGTTGGAAGTTGTCCAGTCACTACTGTGAAGCTGGGGGGAGTACATGTACGCTGTCTTCTTGATTCTGGATCACAAGTCTCCACCATCACTGAGAGTTTCTTTAATAAGCACTTCCGCCCTAGAAGAAGCAAACTGCTTGACACAAACCAATGGCTTACCCTTACAGCTGCTAATAGCCTGGAAATACCATACACTGGTTACCTGGAACTAGACTTTGAAGCACAAGGTGTAACCATCCCTCAGAGAGGTATTCTCGTGGTACGAGACCCCCCGGATCCCCAGTCAAGAGCCCGTAAAGAAGCTGTGCCAGGTCTGATTGGAATGAACATTATACAAAGAATGAATCAAGAGATTAAAGAACCCAAACTCCTAGAAGACTCTGCTTGGTCTAATACACTCCAAGTTGCAGGGAAAGCTATGACGTCAGTTAGAGGATTTGCGAAGATTGCAGGCAAAAGCGATGTTAGGATCCCAGCTGGAATGGTCACAACCGTAGATACCACTGGTTATCGAGGATCGCAGCCTGGTGAAGATGCAATTGTCCTTATCGAGCCCCTAAGAGATTTGTCATGTCATGGACTGGTAATCATGAGCACCCTCTCATCAGTCAGTCGTGGACGTGTCAAAGTACAAGTTGCTAACATAGCACAAGAGGACGTTTGGCTTCGCCCCCGTGAGAGAATTGGTATAATGCATGCAGTAGCAGGTGTCCAGGATGACAACCAGGCAGTTACCTTCACACAAGTCTCTGCCAGTGAAGTAGTCATACAACCCAAGCCCGAAGAATCCCCCAAGAAAGAAGATTCCCCGAAGTCTACACCCATTCCCCCTGAAGACATGCATTGCACCTCTGAGCAGCAAGCAAAACTTGATGGGCTCCTGGCCAGGTACAAGGACATGTTTGTTACTGATGATGATGAACTAGGCTACACCGAAACAGTAAAGCACAAGATATTCACCACAGATGACATCCCTGTAAATCAGCCTTTCCAAAGAATACCCCCCGGTCAGTACCAAGAAGCAAAAGAACACATTCAGAAACTCCTAAGTCAAGGCATCATCCGAGAGAGCCACAGCCCCTATTCCTCCCCAATAGTACTTGTACGGAAGAAGAATGGTAGCCTCCGCATGTGTGTGGGTTACAGAAAGTTAAACGCAAAAACAGTTAAAGATGCTTATCCCTTACCTCGGATTGAAGAATCCTTCGATGCACTGCAGGTAGCAAGCTGGTTTTCTACCCTGGATTTGGCAAGTGGTTTCAACCAGATAGGAGTAACTGAAGAAGACAAAGCGAAGACTGCACTCATAATCCCCTTTGGTCTGTTTGAGTACAAAAGGATGCCTTTTGGACTCTGTAACGCACCCGCGTGTTTTGCTCGGCTTATGCAGGCTTGCCTAAATGAGCAGATCTTCCTGATTTTGCTTGTTTACTTGGATGACATCTTGATCTTCTCGAAAACCTTTGAAGAGCACCTTGAGAGACTAGAAATGGTCCTTAAACGCCTGAGAGAACATGGTTTGAAATTGAAGTTGGAAAAGTGTACCTTCCTGCGTGGAAGAGTAACCTACGTGGGACACGAAGTATCCGGTGCTGGTATTGCCCCAGACCCCCAGAAGATAGCAGTCGTACAAGAGTGGCTAGTTCCCCAAACGGTTAAGGAACTCAGAACCTTCTTAGGCTTTGCAAGTTATTATCGAAGATTCATTGAAAGCTTTGCCAAGATAGCAGGACCCCTTCACCAGCTAGTGAACAATTCACTTCATGAACTCGAAGTTAACAGGAAACTTTTGTGCCCATTTAAAGAGAGACCGAGCCAAGAGTGCCAAGAAGCATTTGACATCCCGCGTGAGAAGCTCACAACTGCACCAGTACTTGGTTACGCAGATTACACCAAGCCTTTTATTGTGGAGACAGATGCTAGCCATGATGGATTAGGAGCTGTGCTATCCCAGGAACAAGATGGTACACGTAGAGTTATCGCTTATGCAAGTCGTCGGCTCAGACCTCCAGAGAAAAACATGCAGAATTATAGTTCCCGTAAACTAGAGTTACTAGCGCTGAAGTGGGCTGTCACAGAGAAGTTCAGAAGTTACCTGTTAGGAACAGAATTCGTGGTGTACACAGACAACAATCCCCTAAGTCACCTTCAGTCAGCCAAGTTAGGAGCAGTGGAACAGAGATGGGCAGCTGAATTAGCCTTGTTTAACTTTAAGATGAAGTACCGCCCTGGTAGAGCTAATGGGAACGCAGATGCCCTTTCAAGAGTAGCACGTGGAAATCATGAAAAGGAAATCCCGCATGCTGACGATTTAGCTGAGATTCAGTTGGAAAACATTAGCGTCACGCAATCCACCCCAGTTCCAGTCGAGCTGAGAGAGTTGGTGACGACCTACACCTCCCAAGAACAACTGAGCACAAGTACCCCAGAGACAACATTCACCAGCCTACCCTCTCACAGTCCAGCTGAGTTACGAGACATGCAGATTGCAGACCCCGTCATCAGTCGCCTCCACTACTACAGGCAAACCAACCGCAAACCCACACCCCAAGAAAGGAGAGGAGAAACACGAGATGCAGTTACGTTGCTCAACCAATGGGACAAGGTTGAAGAGGAAAATGGCATACTGTATCGAGTCATTCAAGATCCCCATTGCGGCCAACGAAAACAGTTGATCCTTCCCCAGAAACTGAAAGAGAAAGTACTTACCAGCCTACATGATGGTATGGGCCACCAAGGGACCGAGCGAACATTACATCTGATTAGAGACCGTTGCTACTGGCCGGGAATACATAGCGATGTAGAAGCATGGATAAAGAAATGTGAAAGATGTACCTTGTCAAAAGAACCATTGCCACGTGTTAGACCAGCCATGGGACACCTCTTAGCTACTAAACCCCTAGAAGTTCTTGCGATCGACTTCACATTGTTGGAACCAGCCACAGATGGCAGGGAGAACGTGTTGGTGATGACAGATGTTTTCACAAAATTTACACATGCAGTTCCTACCAGAGACCAGCGGGCGAGCACCACAGCTAAAGTACTCCTTAAGGAATGGTTTTTTAAGTATGGTGTCCCTCTGAGAATCCACTCCGATCAAGGAAGAAGTTTTGAAAATGCAGTGATCACCGAACTCTGTAAGCTGTACGACATTAAGAAGTCGCGTACCACTCCTTATCACCCGCAAGGCAATGCCCAATGTGAAAGATTTAACAGAACCATGCACAACCTGTTGCGTTCACTACCACCAGAAAAGAAGAGAAAGTGGCCAGAGTACCTCCCAGAACTTCTTTATGCCTATAATGTTGTCCCTCAGGCATCCACCAGCTATTCTCCGTATTACCTGATGTTTGGCCGTAACCCCCGCCTACCACTAGACCTAATGCTTGGAGCAGACGAAAAGGATCCACCTGAAACAGACTGGCTAGCCTCCCACCAAGACCGCTTAAGAGATGCTTACCTCAAAGCAGGGGAGCACCTCAGACAGCAAGCAGATGCACGGAAAGCCACCAGCGACAAGAGTACCAATGCCCAACCAATTGAAAAAGGCCAGTTTGTCTACCTACACAGTCATCCCCGAGGCAGAAACAAGATACAGGATGCTTGGGATCCCACCTTGTACAAAGTTCAAGAGACGCCAGGACCTACAGGAGCTGTTTATACAGTTGCTCCAGCCCATGGAGATGGACCCAGCAAGAGAGTATATCGGACCCTGATGAGACCATGTCACAGGCAGGTACAGCCATGCCTTGACACCAACCCCATTGTGCAGACAGATTTGATTCCCCCAAGGGTGAGACATAACAGAGTGCCCACTGAACCCCAAGATGATGAAGAAGAGATAATCGTGATGAGAAGACGCCCCCATCCTGTATTGAACACAGCACCTCCAGAACCCTGTGAGCCTGTGAACCCCCCGGAAGAATCAGAAACCAGTGAGCCCCCAGTTCCAGAAATGCCCATTGAAGTGACCCCAGGAGATCAAGCGCCCTATGCAGAACCTGAGGTTGTTGAATCTGAGATTGTTGAACCTGCCGTTCCAGTTGCAGAGGCCCCCGAAGAACCAGTTCATGTGGAACACCCAGCCCCAGAGCCCCCTGAAGAGACGACCCTGAGACGCTCAACCCGGACGACAGCAGGACAGCATTCTAATCCTCATGGAGCCCCAAGATCAGCAGTAAATAACTCAGTGACATTGACTGTTAAAGACTTTCCAGTATATTTCATTTTGTTATTTTGGTTCTTAGCATATAGCCTTTGGTAAAACGAGTTTGTTAGTTTAAATAAGCATTGTTGTGTTCTGTCGAGGACGACGACCTAAGCAGGGGAGAAATGTAACCGAGCTCGATAATTAGCTCACAAAGCATTTTCTTTTCGGTATTATTTTTGCGGTTCCGTTTATCGTTTTCCCACGGTACGCGTTTCTTTAGTTGTGCTTTGTGGTTAGCCGTGTTTTATCTAGCTCTGTGATTTCTCCGCCTTTACACCCATAAACAGGAAAGAAATTAATTGATTTTAACTCGCTTTAATTTGCCGCCATTGCTGTAGTTAACCGCGAAACTCTCCATTTGTTTCCTCCTATTGTATTAACAGAACACGTATGTATTCTGCGGTAAAGCAATAATAGTGTTTCGCAAACAGGCGTATTGCCAAAAGGAAGATTTCACTGTTTTGTGGCTTACCTAGCTATAGCTGTCCAATTGTATTGCTAATAACAGGATGCGAGCTGTTTGTGTTCCGCGCGATATAAATACGCCTGCACGTAGCGTTTCTACGCATTACTACAGTTCCAGTTGCCGCGTTCACTAGTCAAGCCGTAGGACATAGTTTTGTAGAGTTCTCCCCTCGCTGGAGTGGCGCTATTGCCCTTTTCATCGCCCCTTTTCTTTCCCTTTTTGTTGCTTTATTGGTTTTCCTAGTATTTGTTTTTTATTGTATTTCTTTCCCACTAATTGGCCATTAAATTCTTGTTTGTTTTATACGCATTTTGTCTTTCATTGGTTGTCATTCGCTACCTCCCCTACTCGCGCGGCTCGGTCACATAAACATCATTGTCCAAACCTAGAACTGATCTCAACGGATCAGACTGAAAACAGGATCACAAGAAGTAATAACCAGCGCCTCTTTATACACCTTAATTGGTGAAGGTCAGGGACAAAGTGAAGCAAAGTTTGTTTTACAATAATAAAAACAGCACAACAGCAAGACCCCAAACCTGGACCTCCAGATCTGAAGCAGGGGCGTAGCGTGCTTAACGCAAATGCAAACGTGTGTACTTGAGAAATTAAGAGAAGATTTTCTGTTATAAGTAAAGACATTTGTAGTGTTGCGACTTGACTTTAAATTGTGCAGATTTGTTGCTGCCTGTCTCGCTGTTAGTCAGCATTGTTTTTGCAAATAAAATACAACCGTTTCAGAAGAGGACCAGGATCCCGTACAATACGCCGCGTATTCATGAAAATTGGAAAAGAATTGACCCTGACTGATCGTCATTCCTTTTAAGATTTATCTGGAACGTTTTTGCATTCAAAAGGTTTTTATTTTTTAGTTTCTCTCCCTCTCCATAAAAGTCGAAAAAGTCTATCATCAAAGACTACTTTAATGTCCCTCAACTGGAAAATCATGGACCACACCATGTCGACAATAATCTACGTAAGCTGAATCAAACTATTAGGTACACATTTTCTACTTGGCCCAGTATCAAGAAGAATTTTGCAGGAAGTTCACTCCTAGCGAACATATGTAGTATGTTTTCAATGACAAACTTTACAGATATTCAGTACAACTGAAAATATATAAATGCTGACTATCACTTATTGTGTGTTCCTTTCCCGTGCTCATGATTGAAATAAGGGAATTAAAGAGAAAAACATAAAAGTCAGCAAAGGAAAGCATGCGGAAAATTTACATGAACATGCACATTGCCACAATTCTTCGAACTGATGCTTTTAAACTTGATTATAAAATTTCTGCCCACAAAAAGGCGCCTCCTTCTTCTGGTTAACATCATTCCTGTACCAGCTCAAAAAGAACGTTTTAAAAGCTTTTTTGATATCATGTTCTATTGTAAACAAGTCTGTAAACTGCCAATTATGTATTAAAGGAAAGCAAAAACGTTACTTTGTACGACGTTTTTAAAAACATATAGACCTGTGTGCGTACTTGTCAAAATGGTCATGCTTTACCCCTGTGAAGTTTGCAATATTCACCACTAGGCCACCATGCCTCTTGTAAGAAAACAAAACAAGAGAGAAAAGAAGTCATTTATCACGGAATAAAATTTATTCCCTGATAAATGACTTCTTTTTCTTAATGTCTTACCTTCACCACCGATTTCAACTGCAGTAGCTTGAGTAAAATAAGACATGTTTTGCTGTTTAGCACTGACTGGGTTCACGCCACTTAAAATCTCCCCATCACAGCAGACCTGAACTTTATGATCTTCTGGACATTTTAATGGAGGAATCCAGCCATAATCTGCATGCCTGACAAGGTGCAAGATATCTCTACTCACTGGGGTTTTGAAGGCTTCAGTTAAAAGCCTAGAGGAAACAACCACGTCACCTAGCTGTAACTTGGTGACTTCTGGGTTCAACCCACCGCAGCAGCCAACAGAGAAAACAGCTTTGGGTCTCAGTTCCACTACGGCATTCTTAACAGTGACCAGCGAGCCATCTGGAGCAGAAGAACCTTCAGAACATTTTATCAAAGCAACTTTTAGGGGCACATCTCCATTTTCACCCATGTTCCCAAAGTACACATATCCAAGGTTCTTGAGGTAGCTTTTAAAGGCATTTTTCAGGCATGCAAAACAGGCTAAGAACTCGCAGTCATCAACTGTCAACAAAAGAATGTCAATTGGAAGATGGACTTCACTCCAAGGTTTAAATGTGTTAGGAAGATCACTTTTCTTGGGAAGTTCTAGGGTGAGTGCAGGTGGAACATCTGCCATATTCTTATGAGCACTACCTCCTTTTCCTATTAAGTTCTTGGTGCTGTGCCATGGTGTCTTGATTAACAATTTCCCTAAAATATCAAAAAGTAAGATCACGAATTAAATTAAAGTTGTACAATGTTAGAAAGAAAAGATTATTTAAACAAAAATCTCTTTCTCTCACAGATATGTGCAGTTAAATCTCTTGTAACTGTCTTTATTATAGAGCTAAAAAATAGCCAACCCTTTAGTCTCATGACAGCAGTTTTTGCTTTGTAATTTCATCTTTAATTGAACATGATAACTCTCATGAAAATGAAAGGCTGGTTCAAACTGTACAAGTGATACCAATGTAAATGCAAGTGCAGTGAGATATGCACTTGCGTTTGAGTATCCTGCATCCCAACATGGTGGACAAAAACTTTTAACCTTGTGTTTGTATTTTAATACCTGGTTCACACATGTGAAATGCAAATGCATGTAGGAATGCAAGAGTGTTCAGGGCTTGAAATTAACAAAAAGTAATTTTTGTTTGTGCTCTTTGAGTTGCTGGAGAACACAGAGTGCTACTTTAATTTACCACCAAGAAATGCATTTTTTGCTGATTAGAAGATGCAAGTCAAGTTGTAATATCTTATTGAAACATATGGTGGTCAGGTCTTAAAAATTTAATGTAGATGACCAAAGTTCCCCTAAGACATTCAAACACATATAATAGTTTACTGGGCAGCTCCAAATTAACCAAGATGTTATTAGGCGTGAAAAGTTAAGGGAAGGTGGTTGACGCACAAAATATAGGCCCTCATTTGTAAAAAGGGACCAGATCACCAAATATATAAGTAAAATTTCCATACTTAAAAACAAATTATCCTCAACTCATGATACACCAACAGAAATGTAAGTAACAATACACGCTGACACCAGGGCTCTAACACACCAGAGTATAGTGTAGGAATATAAATACTATGGTCAAACATAGAAGGAATGCTCTTTATTAATTTATTTTAATTTATTAATTCATTTATCTATTCTATTTTCTTCTTTTTCACCTACTTACACACTAACTTTAATTGGACGGGGAGCTAACTAGAAAATCTAACAGTTAATTTAGCTTCCCAGCTTGCACTTATTATTTCTCTTATATTACAAAGTAATAAACTAGGACAAATTTCAGTTATGTTAAGTTAAAAATGTCATTTCACTGTGAGCTAAATAAAGAATTATTTATTTCTTATTACAATTACAATTATGAATATGGCGGGATAGGCAGCCTTGACCGAGTAACATGTAGATGTAAATGTCTTTGAAGACTGCATCAGTAAAGGAAGTGTAAAGGGGTGTTATCCCATAAAGAGAGATTCAGGGAGGAGACACCAATAGAGGGTTAACTGTCCAAAGCCGTTAGTGACATTTGTGGTTGAGTGCTAAGAATAATAATTATTATTATTAGCAAAATTCTAGGAAAAAGATTGAATGAGAGAAAGGATTTGACTCTTGAAGTATGCCCCAACATCATACTTCTTCTTTGCTACTTACATGTACTTTTAAAATAAAAATAAACAATTGCTACAATAAAGATCCTCTTGTATATTGCAAATATATAACAAACAATAAATTACGCCATTTATATTGAAATAAGCGTTTCAAATCTACTGTATTTCTGGTACCATTTCTGCTTTATTGGATATAATAGTACCTTGTAACTCCTTCTTATTGGCCATAGAGCTAGAGGGCTGTTCCCTTGCTGATGGGTCTGTGAGTTAAACAAAATAGAATAAAAATTGAAGTGAGACATTTAAAAAACAGTTATTCAAAAGTATTTGGGGATGTTTATCAATCTGTCAGTTTTTTTGTTACTCACATTTTAGATTCTGGGTTTGAATAATAAAGTTTCAATAACAAAAAGGACTGAGCAGCTTGTCTTGGGACTGAAAGCTTACATCTTAGCTTTTACTTAATTGTGGGCGATACTGACATTTTAATTCACTAACTGATGTCTGTTCACAGTTTATGTTTTAAACTTGGGTATGCAGGATTTTTGCTACACATTAAGTTGATTCTGAAAGGCATCTAGTAAGCAGCTGCAGTTCAAAAACATTTTCAAAACAGGAAATAAGCCCCCAAAATATTTACTGGGCCTTTCTAAACCACAGCTATCAACCAATCAGAGGGTAGATGTCTAGAATGATCTAAAACTAGAAAATAAAGCCAGCAGAGCAGAGAGCTTCTTTTATGGGTTAGGGTACAGGGCTGTCACTATGGTTTTAAGTTTCAGAGCAGGGAATAGGACATCCTGGAAATTCTTTTGGTCCTATTTTTTAGTAACCAGGGGTCATGCATGCTCATAGTAGCCAGGGGAAATCCACGCCTCCCGGCCCTTACTGACAGCCCTGTAAAGTTGGTTGCTAGTGTCATCAGGGCGTGGTGGGGAGAAGGGGATACTACCCTGTTAAACAACTGTGGTGCTACTCAAGTAAAAAACTCAAAAGTATCCCTAGAAGGTACCGCAATCTTGCTTCGTCAGCATGGAAGAAATTCATTTTAAGATGAAATCCACCAGAACATTGAGTAATTTTGATTTTCAAAGGACAAAAATCTTGTACCAGAATAATTTAAAGCATATTGCATTCTTTTTTACATTTTTCAAGGGCTAAAGATCATGATGTGATAAATCATCTGTAGTAACACCAAAAAAAATTTCTCATGGGAGCCTGAGAAAATGAATGTCAAATTTCACAAAATTACATCTTACACACGCAATTTTTAGAAATTTTACCTGGCAGGTATAATGACAATTCTTGTGAAATTTGACATTCACTTTCTCGGACTTCCATAGGAAATTTTCTTTGGTGTAATTAAAGATGATTTATTACATCTTTGGCCTATGAAAATGTAAAAAAAGAATGTAATATTCTTTAAATTATTCTGGTACAAGGTTTTTGTGCACTGAAAATAAAATCACTCAATGTCCTGGTGGATTCCGTCTTAAGCTCTGTTAGAGGTACCAAAAAGAGGAGGAGATATTTCACTGCTCTGAACCTTGAAGAATTAATAGATAGAAGACGAAGTTTAAAAGCTGGATACTGTCAGGGAGCTGTTGTGATTCTCACATACAATGAATTAGTAATCTCTTATTCACCTGTAACAAAACTTGTGCTTGGGCCAGCTTGCTCAACCCTTCCAGATGGACCTTGAAATACGACAACAAATAATTAGTCATTTCACCAGTGTCTTGTTCACAACTTATGTTGTGCAATGAATTGCTTAATTAGAGACAATGAACTGGATCAAATGCTTTTTGTCTAATTGTAGGAGATTCATGGATCTTTTAATAAATCTTCAAAAAAAAAAAACATTTTTTGAATTTTCCTCAACTATTTGTAATTTTAATATAATTTAACAATGAGTACTGGCATCTTTATGCCAATGACAAAATGTGTACATGACATACCATACCATGGTTGAACTCATGAAACAAACTCAAGTTCAAGTTTAGTGTTTATTTGCGACATTTTAAACAGCAGAAACTTGAGTTGCGGGGACCACGTCCCCTGCTCTTTATGAATTAACAGTTTTTATAACAGAATTTTTATATACATGTATGATGCTTATTATGATTTATTGTCCTTAATGGCCAGAAGACGAGAAACTCTAACAGTTTACAGCTGTCTTTAAAAAGGAAGCACTTTCTTCACAGTTACATTTATTTAAAGATCCTGATTTCTTTACCTTGGTTTTTTGGTTTGTATTTCTCGAATAGCCCTGCAGCACTTCTCTTTATCTGGTTCCCAAGAGTATCTCCTTTCTTCTTAGAACGATCTTTATCCATTCTACAATTAAACCAAGATTAAAATTCATGCATCAGAAAAGAGTAGTTTAGTGGATTGAGCTGGTTAACTTTGCCAACACTCAATGCAGTTGTGCACTAAAGAAAGCCTGAAAAAATCAAGCTTACCGGCATTAAAACACTGACCTTGGGATACCAGTGCAGTGCTCTAACCATTTACTGAGCTGGCAAGCCAACTGGGGGCTGGTCATTATCACATATATTGGTTCCTAATTAATATACCCTGTGTCTGGAAGCCTAACTATTTTTTGCATTGTTTTTGCCACTGCATAAGTTGCATCTTTAAATGCGATGATCTTTATTTCTTCATTCTGTGCATGGTTCCAATAATATGAAATTCAGATATTCATTTCACCTTCATTATTCCCAGGTAATATTACACAACAATGCAGTTTATTGACTAAACACAAACACAGGCACATTCAATGTGCATGAGCTATTTTGAACGCTTCAGCTCCAGTGGTAGCTATACAACTGGTTTTTTGTGCGAAATTAGGTATTGCTGTACGTCAATGAAAACGCTCAGCTGAGTCGATCCTCATGCTTAATATTCACTTTCCTGTCTTTCCTTGATACATCTGGAGCAAGTTAAACAAATTGTTAAAGTACAAAAAATATCAACTCACCAAACGTTGATTAGAGGGAAAACTCGAAGGTTTCTTTAGAGTTTCTTAAGAACATGTGGCACTGGCTCATTTATTACCGAATATAGTTATGTCCAGGATTTTTTATCATTGTGGTAGGTGGTCGCATCATCATAATTCATGAGGTTTTCATGTGCAATTCTACTCAATGAGACAGTCTAACTCTGACGACTTAATTCTGCATGTTTTAAAAGCTATTGCTTCTTAAAAGACAAGAATTAACCTTTACCTAAGGCATTGGTTACAAAATGAAACAGGTCTTTATACATTCAAGTTACTATTATTACTGTGAAAAGCCAGCGTGAGATGTGCAGTCACACACCTGGCACGTGAAAGTGTTGCACTGGTTTGTGAGGGAATTCAAGTTATCACACAGTAATGTAGTAAACAGGATTATAGGTTATAAAATTTCTCATGCACACAAATTGCACGTGAAGATGTTAGACTTTTCCCCTTTTACAAATTGTACAAGAAAGAACACATATTGTTTACAAGATTACTTTGCTCAATTGATTTTAACAAAACACCTCCTTTTCTAACATCCACAAATATATAATTATACATCACTCAATGTTAAGATTGATACCCTAACATCATTACAGAATTGTCAAATTGGTGAAATACTGATTTCTACTCATCTTATGTTAATTCCACTCAATGAAACAATCTCTAATTATTTCGTCAACTGGCTGCTTCCAAGTTTATTTGCTACCGCAAAAGTTACGCATCTTTTCCCAGCCACTGGGTAAATGAAATACGTTTTTTACGCATGGCTGTGCTTTAGCAGAGCCCGGTGGCCCCTGGCACCCAACTTTTGCTCTTGGGTGACTAGAAAATCTTAGATTTTTCATACAAATCATATGCTGGACACCCTAGATTTTACAGGTTCAGAGCACTGGGCTCCCTTCAATTTTCCTAATAAAGCACAGCCTTAAACCAATCAGAGGCGAGTAAGATGCACGCAATGAAATTTGCATAATTCAACATCCGTTGTTCGCGAAGTGGGAGACTTCCGGACGTTTTTGTTGCATTTTATATATCACCATAATTCATATAATTATTATCTGGTATTCCTCAGATATATGTTGCAACCAATAAGAAAAAGATTAACAACCCTGTCCTGCTTTGAAACAAACATTTGCTCACATGTATTTTTATGTACCCACACTAGCAAACAAGTCTCTGTTTCGCAAACAAATAATTTGTAAACAAACCTTGCTGATCACTCTGTTTTACCTATGTAAACTTAGAAACACCTGCAAATTGTGCCTGACTGGTGGCCAAAACACCCTTTATTGAATTACCGGTAGGCAAACATTTTGCTTAAAATGCCTGGCTTATTTTATTATAGTACGCATTTAGCTCCTTCCGAGCTCTCTATGTTTCTTGTACCCTATGTGTTTGGCTAGCGCGATGACCACTATGATGACTACAAATTCTTAAACATTTACGCTCATACAGCAGAGATACAAGGAACATTCCGAGTGAACCACATCAGTAAAGAACACATGGCCTTTCAGTACTTTCTGGTGTACAACTACGGATCGGAGTCATAAATCGAATGCCTGTTAAAGTGTTCCATGTTCGATGGATTCTTTCCTCAAACCTCACGCTACTTCCTGCACAATAACAGATTTCTGGGTTTTCTCCTTCTGATTCTAAGCACTCGAGAGAGTAAATTGTTGCAGACAATCGAAAGTCATGTCGCAGATCAGCTTCACTCACCGTTGCGTCCCAAGTGTAGTACACAGCTGTATCGATAAACCTTTTTCCACTTTCCTTATATATTTAACGTTTAAAACCTATCCGAAAAAGGTAGATCGTTGAATGGAGAACTTAGTAGACAGAAATGAAAGCCAGATGACCACATTAAATGCCACATTTGATCCGTTTGTAGGAACACTGACAATAAAATAATATGCCTTAGTGCAATTCTTCTGAATGACTTCCAATTTTCTCAACAATGCTTGCACAAAAATACAAAATATGGCATTTAAAACTTCCAAAATAGACCAAATAGCTCTTGAATACTGATATAATAGCCTTCTCGGGCATCTCAGGGTCGACAGAAGAGGATTTTTTCACCAAAAGCAAATCTTGAAAAAAGGTTCACCAGACCAGAAATCAAGACGCTGCACATGCGCAAAAAGCATGTCACAGTCCCTTGAAAATCAATATCTAAATACCAAATAAAATATATTAACACTTCAATTGTAGACCTTAAAAAATATGATTTTTTATACTTCACTTTGGAGCGGGTGAAACATAATTCATGTACGTTGTGCCGTTCGCGATAGCTGAGTTGGGTCATAGAGGTCTTGAACAAGCAGCCACACTAAAATATGAACCCTTAAACAGCTGCATCACAGTACTCAGCATTTCAACCATGAAGATATTTAAATGTTATGCTTCTAAACACCTTTAGCCATAATAAAAGATGACCCAATTGTAAATAACCAAAATGGCAGTCTCGATAAAGTGCCCTCGTTTGACATTTAGCGCAGCAATGTCATGTTTAGATGTCAAAATCTCATTGGTTCCTAAGCATAAACTCATAGTACCTTCAACCTTATTGGCCCCTGCAACACACATCCGAACAGACAAAGCCACAAAGCAGTAACGATACGTAAGCTTATACCACTGACATATGAGCTATTTTTTCAAAATAGCTCAAAAACTAATGTTTACCAGACTATTCAAATTTATTACAAAATTACAGCACGCTTGCCTCTAGAAATTATTCTCAATGCCTAAAAATACTTGCAAAGAATACTTTGTTGAGCGAAAACAAATCAAGTCAACAACAGCTGATTACTCCAAACTTTGAATGTTTGGTGGCACAACATGTCATGTTTGCACCCAATTAGAACATGGTTTTTCCTCACGTGAACATGCTTAGATGCAACTGATGGTAAGTGAGAATAAGTTACAAGATACTTGCATTTCTTCCCCATCCCATTACCTAAGTTCTGGTTATTTGCTTTGAACTCCCGATAACTTGAACTGTTTTTGATTTCCCTTGAATGTTCGAGTTATGAGGAGTCGACTGTATGATGGGTGCAAATTTAATGCCACCCTCTTAATGTATCCTTTGCCAGTTTAGGCTCAACTACAATTATTTCTTCAATTGGTACAGCTAAAATAAAATAATTCAAAGAAAAACCTAATGTAACACTCGCACTCTTGAATATTGAGAAACTGTTTCTCTCTATGCTACACTCAGTAACAATCTTTTACTTAGTCACCATGTACTGTTTCCTTAGAGGTTGTTGCCAAGTTTACAAAACCTAAAGCAAAAGCTATTTCTTTAAAAATGTTGACATTATTTTTCCTTCTGTTTTACACATCTCCATCACTGAGAATTTGTTCATTTTTTGTCGGCAATTACATAGCAGGAGTACTACAATTTGGTGCCAGCAGAATTAGTTTTTTAAATTCAACTTTGTGAATAAGCATTCAGTAAAAATGTAGTACAGTAAGACTAGTTTATTCTCCTACATGTGCTACTCACTAAGTTTATTTTAAACAATTTTCAATATTTTGCTGTTCCCCAACAAGGAGCATCTCAACTTAATTTTCAACGTCAGCAAACTAGCTGTGGACCAAACTCTCTAACAACTTTCCCTGCCAGCAAATTGCCAGGATATTTTTGAGGACTAACAAAAGCAAAGTCTTTCATTCTACTTGTATAGCACATCACATAAAAGAGAACTCAGACTGTAGAGAAATACCATTTTAGATTGGTATTGTAAGAGAATACCTTTGTTTGTTAAAATGAAATTAATTCCATCAGTAGTCTTTCACTCCAAGTCATACCAACTGTCTCGGTCAGCCATGCAGTTTCACTGAAATAAATGGCAAAAAGTAAGGCAGGGCATGGGGTGGGGAGGAGAGGGGATTTGATTGTGTGTTGGACCTGGGGTGGGGCATTAGAATGATCTTGTTCTCCTGGGGGAGGGGATATTTGAATCTTTCTTTGTTCAATGTGCACTAGGATCAACTAAACATTTAATAAAGTGCTGTATCAAAGTAAACAGAAGCTCTATTTTCAAAACAGAAAACTCCATCAGGTTGAAAACATTCAGAGAGGTTTAATTTTGCCATTAAAGGCCCACTGCCAACCTTGATGCATTGCGCCAGAAACCAGAGTTCCCTGACTTTTTAACAAATTCCATGACTTTTCCCTGATGTTGAAAAATTTTTGTTTTTCCCTGACTCTTCCCTGACTGTAGCAACTCTGATAAAACTGATCAGCTCTAGGAAATTTTGGTGCATTTGACTGGAATGATTTGCCTGTGGGCAGAGAGTTTGACAACAAATTGTGGAAAAATGTCACAT